AGGCATGTGATACATATTTCAGGTTAAAAATTGCACTTCAGATAGACAGCTCTTCACAGTTCTAATAGGGTGTCTCTAAATCCCAGTTCAGAAAGGTTTTGGAACTATGAACCCACTATCATGTCAATATGCAAGACAGGCAATGACAACACAAAATCCAAACCTCAGTGGGGTGTTCAATTGCAAAATAGTCCTGAAAGATACAGTTACCATAACAAATGTGTTTAAGAATCCAGAGGGTTTACAGTGGCTTCAACTTCTGTTTCAGGATTAAGAAAAACTACACCATAGAGTCCCAAGTGACTGTGTATAAACAAAACAGATTTAGGTCCCTCTGGCTATGAGACTGAATTTGGTAATGACAATAGGCACCATGATAAATAAGAATCTTAAGGTTTGTGCTATTCTCCATTTTCTCCCTACCGCCAAAAGGAGCAAATGCACTTTAATGTGAACACTGTTTACAGCAATTACTTAAATTCTAGCAGAGCATGCACTCACATTTTAAAAAGCATCTATGTGATGAAGTGACTGATAAAGCATTTTATAAAAATGTTTTAAAGTGTTCTCCTTTAACTGTAATAGACTACAATTAATAGCAACAGAAAATTGCTTTAAAAAGGAACTATCAATTGGAATGAAATGTAGATCATAAGAGGGCAGCATGAAAGATTGGAATAAATGACAGACAGGAGAAAAGACATCGTAATTTCTTATTATTTTTGACAACCAAAGCATGAGAATCTGAAAGTATTTGTTATCACCATTGAACATCCACGTGACGCAAAGGCATACCAGCCCACAATTTCCCAGAGAAATCTGCAAGAAATCAGAGTATTAATGGTTTGTGAACATTGCAAAGGTTATCTCATGAGCCAGGAATAGATTTTTATGGATTTAGTTGTCATGTCTTTAAAGAAGTATTGCAGTTCTTGCTCTGTGGTGCAACGAGTTAATATAAGGCATTTGGCTTACAGGGAGTCATGCTAGCATTTCAGAGGGCAATAGCTAAAAGTGTGGCTCAATTCCTAGAACCTTCCCTATAGTAGAAAGTTTTACCAGCAAAGCCATCCATGCATCAGAAGAAGCTCCTAAGCATTTATATTCTGAAGCAAGTAAGTCTGAATGACTCTCAACCTTCTCTTGACAGAAAAAGCTGGCTTCCTAAGACTCAAGCCACAAAAGTGGCTCTCAACAGCCATGCAAAGACATCCATGACAGTAAGGAACAACACAACTGCCCTGTAGCTCTGATTACTTGCAACACATGTGATGCCTCATACTGAGAAACAGTGGTGATTAAAAGCTTCCTCCTTTTTAAAATCCTCTGCATCTCATGGCCTGAACTTTCTCTCAAATAATTGTGTGGTGGTCAAGTGGCTACTGCCTCCAGCTCTGGGAATACCACATACCACGTTTGACCGACCTGAGTAGTTTGCACAAACTTCAAGCTTCAGCTGAGAGCCAATGAAGAGGAAGGAGACTCTGATAAGAAAACATGTGAAACAGCCCCAAGTGAAACCCAAGGCTGAACAAAGCAGCCGCCTCCAGCACGAATATCACATTGCTCCTGAGAAAGACCTCACCATGCTGATGACTTATCTTTCTGCTCAAGGAATACCATGTGTCAACCTCAGGACCCACAGGAACAGTGGAAGGGTGAGCATAACACCATAGAAAAGGGGTACAAAGTGGGAAAGCTCTGCATAACAATTGTAGTTGTAAAGTTGATGAGGCTTTTCTGTATTATCTAGATAATTTGGACTATCAGACCATTAAAACATTAAGCGGACAAACAATAAATTCTTGACCCCATTTATACAGTGCATTCCTTTTTGCATGTTACAAGACTTGGAGTGTAGCAGCGTGCCAAACTGCCTCAGGATTATAGGATGTGTATTCTGACAGGGGAAGAGCATGGAAAATACACATCACAGGGAAGAAAAGGAAACAAGCCACACAATGTTTAGAGAAAAGTAACAGTGTAAGTTTAGTGTCATCCTGAGACTTGGATCTACTCTCTTAATGCCACATTGCACTAGAAATTAATACTGTTCTACAAGTAAAGTTTCTCACAAAACATGATGCAAAACCCACCAGAACTGAGGTAGAAACAGAGGGGCTTGAGTGAGAGGAAAGAATCTTCTCAAAATGCAGCTAGGCTGTCCAAGCCCTTCAGTCCCTAAAGAAAAGGGCTCTGCACAGGTATTATTTTACAGGGCTGTCCTACTTTACCAATTTACATGGATGTCCTGGTTTCAGCTGAGAGGATTGATTTTTCTTCATAGTAGCTAGTGTGGGGATACGTTTTGGATTTTGGAATTTATTTTCTTTGCTTTTGCCATAGTCTTCACCACATTGCTTCTCCCTCTATGCCTATCAAAACTCAGTGGCCAGCCACACACAGAAGCAAAGGGATTTTTTGTATCAAACGAGCTACTTCATTTTAAGGATATAAAACAGTTATACCATGCAATAGAGGAAAATATAAAGCAACAAAAAAACATCCTGAAGTACATAGTTTTACAGAAAATAAACTGCAGTCAGATTTCATGCAGCTATTTGAGAACAAAATTACATGTAGATATTATTCTGAGTTTACAGTCTTAAGATGGTAGACAGTACATACCCTATATTCAGGAACTGAATACAGGATACAGGTTTACATCACTAACCTACAGAAGAGGTGACATCACAGTTATAGTGCAGACACGAACTGATCTCAGCACATAGACAACTTTTTAGTCACCTACTACAGGGTCTCTGAATCTTTTCAGTAGGCAGCATTTTAGGTAGAAATGCTTTGCTTCCCCCTCATGCTATTGGACCTCCCCACAAACCTCAACAAAAACTTGAGACCATGGCAGAGAAAAGTCCAGCCACAGAAGAGATATTTACAAGCCTGCTCAGGCACTCCATTTTCTCAGCCTTTTTGCCACCTTGAAAATGAATGTATAGTGAAAAATTGTGACAGCCTACAAGAAATTTAGGAGGTTGTACAACACCATCCTGAAACTGTGCTCTTAAACTGTCATAAACTGTAGCGGCTGTGACCCTGTCCATACAGTTATACAGCCCAAGGTGAGAAAAATAGGACATTGTAGTATTTTTCATTAGCTGTCTACTAACTCTCATCTGAAAAATACCTAATAATGGGTCCCTATAAGATTGACTTACATTACTAAATTTTCAAGTGCAGGCATAAGGTTGCTGAACAGCTTGAAGGAAAAAGGAAACTTGGAAAAAAATAATCTTGCATCGCCAACCATGCAAATATTACGAGTCTTCCCCAGTTATCATTATCAGCAAGTCAAGCCCAGTAAGCCAAAAATATCTGCATAACCAGGAGGAGGTACCTATTCCATTAGGTAAAATTCAGAGATAAGGAATAAGCACGCCATAGGATTAGCACACATGTCCCATCTGTCACCTATTCTGCAGTTAGCAAAACTCACTGCAACACACTCAATTACTTTATGAAGACTGTTTTGTGTATGTAATCCTCTACAAATGGTTATGCTTCATTATTCTGCAGCCTCATACGACACAAGCCCCCACCAAATCTCTTAAAAACAATTAATGGAAACTTGGAGCTTCTCATTCTGACAGTTAAAGGCTGTCTCCCATAACACATACCTAACTTTAACATTCAGCCTATCCACAGTGTAACAGGGACACTCATTACCTTTAAGAAGCAAGGAAAGGGAAGAGTAGAATACAGAAATTTAGAACCTGGTAGTTTTTGGGATAAGATAATCCTATTACCACAGTTCTCTGAAAGGCATGATGTATTCCCTGTATATCCTGTAGCACTATTGTCTACCTTAATCACTTTTCCACAACAGATAGCTATGCTCACAATGCAAGGATACCGTGCATCTTTTGACCTGGAAGGGCATCCAAATGTGAACAAATGTTACCAAAGGGTAGCTGGATACTGGCAAAACTCTTGCTAATAAAGCTGTAGAGCATTGGCATAGCCCACATTTCAATTTGAAACCACAATAATGAAGTCGCATCACTCTGCTGGTATTCCGAACCACCTTCCATCCTTGTCTTCAGTTCTATCTGCTCACTCTCACATGGATGTAATCACTGATTAATCATACAAAACCCTGAAGGACTAGATACAATCTCCCTGGAATACTGAAATACTGTTTTCTTTCCAGAAAAAGACTAGAGATATAGTAAAGCTGTGATTTTTCAGTTTTCGTATATATCATTTAAAGACAATGTAGAATCTTTTCCTAAAAAATGTAAACACTTAAAAAGGATTCAAATTCCCTCCACATATAATGAAATTACATTCTCATTTTCCACATTTTCAACAAACACAATCTTGGGAAGTAAGTATCTCTCTGCTATAAACACTGAAAGATAAGAACTGCTTACTGCTGTTGAGCCAAAAGAGCACATAAACTGGTACATCTGTCAGATTCAAGTCATTGCACAAACAGAATCATTAACAATTCTAAGTATTATCCTCTAAATGCATTTTCTGTACATATGAACTATCAAGTCAAAATAATTTTAAAAACCCATAGACCTATTATATATATAATTCCTTCCTGTAGCTCTGTTTTTCTCACTTAAAGAATAACTACTATCTATCATAGCTGAAATTGTGCCCAGAGGCTCAGAAAGTTCTTTTATATGCTACCTTTATGATACCCTTTTCACTCCTTGGCAACAAGTCATTAAGCTCCACAACTGTTTCTGCTCTTGTTCTCCTGAAAGTTCTTAGCAGACATTTTGGGTTAAAACCACAATAGGAGGTCCCTCTGCAAGCTACTCTGACATCAAAAGTTATGAGGTATATGAATGTATAGAGTTACTAAGACTATTCTGTGCAACACACACGAAGACAGGACTACCAATCAAACTCAAATCATTTCTTATTCATTTAAGCTGCACAGCTATAAACAAAGCTTTGACTTTATTCTATATCAGACAGGAAAGTATTTCTCATCTGGAACCTGCCAGCTAAATAGGAATACTCACCCTGCTGCAACTGCAGGAGGGATGACCAGTACGAGTTTAAGTTGTGCTTCATGCAGAGCTTCAGAAAGGTGAATAAGCAAGTGAATCAACTCCCTGAAATATAAATATATTGTTAGAGCAAAAGGCAGTAAAACTGGGACTATAAATTGGCAAGAGCAAGTTCACAAGTAACTGTAGAAATAATTGAAAAGACACAGCTGGCAAGAGTGCCAAACACAGTTTGTAGTGAATGACCATAGCAGGAAAAAAAAAATTAGAAAGACTGGTCAGAGGTTTACCCTCTTTCAAGACTAAGAACACTGAACTGCTGGAGACAGTCTTGGTTATATTGGAACTGGTGATCATCTTGGGGCTAAAATGTTTCCTAATTTTATTTTAATCTAACTAAGCATTGTTAGCATGTAAAACAGCATATCTTATCAGAGCAGGTCACCTCTTGAGGTCATGCTCAGTAAAAAGAATTAAATGAATAGAAGAACCAAACACTATTGTGAAACAAATAGCTGTGGAATAGATTCAAGTTGCCACTGTATTACTACACCTGAGGTCGGAGAATCTGTAAAGATGCTTTCACAGCAAGACATGCAATCTTCAAGGGATATTTCTGAGGCCTGTACTTAAAAAACATTTCTGCTGTTGTTTTTTTCTGCATAAATAATCCTTTTGTTTCTCAATATATTACTTTATAGCTACAAAATAAGTGTTTGACAATGTCATGTCTGGAAGTATTACCTTCCATATGCGTCATTTAAAGATTTTCACAAAAGCTGATTTTTATATCCACATTCTAAACATTTCAATAGGAAAATAAACTCCAACATTTTCACATAAACTGCTTTTAGTCTTTCTGATTTGAAGGATGATGTTAATAGAAAATCCTTCAGAGACAGAATGCAGAAACAAAAAAGTTTAATAGCTATTGTTATCTTAACAGGACTCCAATATTACCTTCAATTTGCACTATAAATATGGCCCTTCTGTGTGCCTTCCTTAAGTCATTTGATTTTTCAGAACAAAGTCAACTTTCATATTTACCCACTGGCATGGTAGATCCACAAAGGCAGTCAGACAAATGATATTAGCACAGAGTTGTAGATCTGTTCAGAACTATGCTTAAACCTGAACCAAGTAGAAAGCAACTTCATAACCCATGCCAGTAGGCTAAAAGTGCTAAAGCAGGAAAGGCAGGATATACATAAGCGATCATCCAAATTGTTTGCTCGACTTAAACTGCGTTAGATCTGAACTCTTAGAAACAACTTTTAGTACTGTCATGCCTTTCAAGGCAGCATCATCCTAGAGATATTCTTCTGAAATCATTCATCTTCCAATATAATTATCCATCACAGTAATGATGCTTGACTTGCAATGTACACACTATCCAAAAGTAACCAGGCATTTTCATTTTCCCTGAAATCGTTTAATGCCTGATGAAAACTTTCCAAGGATGCTACAAAAGCCATTACTCTCAAAATCCTGGCAAATAAACAAAGCAAGTTTGACCACTTTGCCGATACCATCACTATTTTATGCTTACAATTTGAGAGCTGGCTGTACTGAACAGCTCTTGACAATGAATTGTCATACTGCCACCCGTATTTCTCTTCTGGGGGGAAAGACATGAGATTACAGGAATCGGCTTTTGGTCTGTCTGCAGCATGTACTTCTACCATTCTTACTCTGGAAAAGTAACAGCTATCCCTCCTATTTCCTTATCATATGCATTCCACATTAAGAGTGTCACCATTTAGACAAATCGATTATAGCAAAGAAGAATCCTTTTCCATAGGAACGCATTAAAAAATTACAACACTAAACTAAACAGACATTTATTGTCTCCAACATACACATCATGGCTCCCACATGACATAATCTTATCAAAAACTATAGTAAGTATTAAAACTAGCTAAGCCTTCTTTCCAAATGATTTGTGTCTCATGGCTAAGTGACCTTTTTAACTAATTATGCCCAAACTGCAGTATGAATGCAGCCTTTATTAGATGTCAAGAGATGCTACATGTAAAAGAAATTCGACCAAAGAATCAGTTCCTCTGGCACTGAGATTATTCTACACTGTTCATCAGCACAGATCTCTCTTCTCTGCCTAGCTGCCTCTGTTAGCTGTAGGAACTCTGAGACCTCTACAATGTGCAAAACATTTTCTGACTTTAAATTTAATTATTTAGAAGGTGAGGGGATAGAAGGAGGGGCAGAATAGAACAAAAGAACCTAACATAGGTGCAGAGCAAGACAACATCTTCTTCATTGAGAAATAAGGCTAACACTCTTGCTCCCACTCTGCATCTTCACGTATCTGCCTCAGCTCCTAAAATTTTGCTATCCAGATAGCAATGCTCTGAAGCGTAAGAAGAAAAACAGTTGTGATTATTTTGAATCAGATGCAGAGAAAAAAAAAATTCAAGTGAATGTTAAATTCAAGGTTTCCCCTTTCCTCAGCAACGTCAGACACTGGTGGATAGCCAGCAGAGGTAAAAATGTATCCACAAAAACAGTGACTGCACAAAAGTAGTCATGTTTTATAACCAGAAAGGCATACAGTGTAGAACCACCACCTACAATTGTAAATGAAGGACAGAGATTTGTGGCCTGAGAGTGGCAGGAGTACAGTTTGGATTGCTGATTTTGTAGCTAGCTAACGGGGCTCTAACTAAAAACAGACTCCATCAAAACAGCCACTTCTCTCCTCCCGCCACCAAATCCAAGTGACATAGGTCTGGCCAAAAAATAATTACTTTGAAGTCAGGAAGAAAAGAAGTAGCTGGACAACTGCAGATTCTTGCTCAAGAAACCCAGATTAACATCTGCTCACTAACCTGTCAAGCCAGGTCTCTGGGCCTTGAAAACTTTGTAGCAAATCAGACAGGATTAATGGTCAAAGATTTAGGCTCACTACCATCTATCAGACAAGACAAATTACGTAAATCAAATGTACACTCTTCCTCTCTCCCCCAAACAGCAATAGCAAAATGCTCATTTATTGTGTGCTATAAATTAACACTTTACTGTGTCCCAACAGTGCTTCCCAGTGTTTTTAACACAATATTCTCGTATATTACCACCGGTAATTTTGAAAGAAAAGCTACTGACATTTTAAACATTATAATGAGGTGCAGGAAAGTAGGAATAGAATCAGTCTTCCTGAAAAGGCTTCATTAAATATTTACCAGAGACTTCACCACTGTCAAATTTAACTTCAGAGTAGCTACTAAAACATTGGCAGCTTTAAGACTCTATCTTGAGCTAATTAAGGTCTACTTCATTCCTACTATTTCAGGCCTTCTATCATCGCTATCATTTAGTAGGTCAATTTTCCAAGTGTTCATGATTTCAAAGTATCTTGTCCCCTATAAAGTATGTAGACCTCCACATTTTTGTCACCCAGACTTTGGGGGGAAGCTTGTTTTTTCAGAACTCCCTTTTTCCAGCTTTGCTAGTCTATTGTGTTTGGGACACCTTGTAGTACAGTTTACTTCAGTGCACAAGAATGGGCTGTAGGTGTATTTGAAAAGCCTTGCAGAAGACACATAAGGCTGCTATATCCTTCCCTTCAGTTACATGACCCTTCAGAACTCTGCAACTTTCCAACTTCAGTCACTTTTTGCACAAGTTGGTAGTCAGTACTCCCTAAAATTTATGCCTTGTCAAAAAAATTGGACAGAATAAAGCTGTCTGCTTCAAGAAGAAATTGCCCTTTTGTGCCATTTCATTGCCTAGTTAATACCAAGAAACTGGAGTGAATTATGGCAAATCTTTGATTAATAGATTAATTTTTCAGGGACTAACATGAAGGATAGAACTGCCAGAAAAGCTTTTTGCTCTTATACTCCTACCAACATTAATAAGATGTCTGAAGGTCATCTTCTGCATGATACCAACTGCCTGCAGCACGTGGTGACAAAAAAATCATGTTTTTCAGATTGATTCTGTGTGATGGCAGTGCCATCTGTCAGCTAATGCCAGACTGATCAGAGTAATGTGTGCACTTTTATGTATGCTATAAGATTCTGATAGGTACATTCATGCCTTTTTCACAACATGACACAGGTCTCTGGAAAAAAAAAAACCAAAAAAATAAACAAACCACACACCACCACCTAATAAATCCACAAGTGAGATAGCTAGACAGGATGATGTCTCTCTTGCTAGTTAACTAAATAAGCAAGAGAGCCTTTGCTTGCTCAGTTATCTCAATAGCTCTACCATGTACATTTTTAAACTTAAATGCCACAGGATGAATAACTTGGAATATTTTATTGCAAAATCAGTCAAGAAAGTTTTAGATAAAATATATATAAATAAGAAGCAGATTTAAACTATAAGAGGCAGCAAAACACATTAGAATTGAGGTATCACCTACATAGGATATCTTGGCTGATTTAGATTTTTGTTAGGAGACTAATATCCTACATGTTAGAATAAAAGATGGGAAGCTGAATACTTTTTCACTGTGCAATGGCTGTCAGCATGAGAGGAGGCAGCATCAGTTAGATGCAGTCTTTCATCTCACATTAAATTTGACCTCATTGTGATTTGTATACCAATAATTCTATTCCCAGAAATCACAGGAAATAAGTAGGTACCAGTACTATAGAGGGTACTTTGAAGTATCTGTATTAGACATCTACAGGAGCCTGAACTGGTCAGTATAAATCCCTTAAAACTTTGGTCCACCCACATGTATCAAAACAATTCAGGTTCTTCAGATAGGACAGGCGGTATTTTGGCATCTAAATATAAGAACCTAATACCATTTTATATATCCAAAGATATACAAAGCATGCATACAGGATTGCTGTGTAAGACTGGAGGCATCTAGGCCCCTACATGAACAGCCAGAGACCAGGCTGCTTAGGAGATGTAATATGAAACCAGGCAGCTATATTTAGGCACATAATTCTCCTATGTAAAATTTATACTGTTGGTAAAATCAACTTTTAAATGAATACACAAAAGAAAGCGGCACAAAGAATTGATATAATTTAAGACTTTAGTCTGCTGAGCACTACAAAGCAATTCTAATGCCAAAACAGAATGATTAGAACATTTTTTGCTCTTGAAAACAAACAAAATCAGATTAAGTTAGTTCTGCTTAAGAAGAGGTAAAATAGAAGATACATGGTGAGCCTGAAACCACAGAATTTCATGTCTTAGTGGATGCTAGCAACATAACTTCTTTGCAACATTTCACCTCATCTGTAATGCCAGCTAGGATAAATGGAAAACTAAAGGCACTTTTTAGGTAACTCCTCAGGCCTTGCGGGAAGAATTTTCACTTGTTTCTAATGTTGAAGCAAGTACCCAGAAAATCAAGATTTTCTAGAAACATGCAAAGGGCTGACAGAGAAGTGTCTAAATTTGCCTCATTTTAAAAATGCTCAGTGATCACATGTTCTTAAAGAGGCTGGTCACTGAATTTATGGGTTACAGAAGCTTTGCACAGAGCTAACACTGTCCCCCTTTTATATGGGGATGCTTACAAAATTAGTCACAAGGTATTGAGGTAATTCAGTGTTTCAACCACCAACATTAAGATAACGGGGAGAGCATGTGTTATGAAGATGTCATCATGCCTCTTTAATCCAACCAAAATTCATGTCCAGGTATTGAAAAAAGGTATCTCATGGGCACACTTGCTCAGCTAAGGTCTACCAAGAGCCTCAGCTGTAATTAATCCAGCTTTCTGATGAAGCAGTTCTTAAATCATAACCCAATTTATTAGGGAGTTAGGACACTAATTTGCAGTTTTCAGATTCTTTTGCAGACTCACCTGCCTCAAGAAATATTGGTGCACTCTGCTAAAAAGTATCACTACACATTGTCTCTAGAGAGTGGATGTTGATTTTGTAGCTGAAACACCATATCAAGCACAAATGTTCCATAAGCAAATCCCGTTTCTAGTCATTTTAAGTCTGATAAAGAAATGTGTGCTATAGTAAGTGTTCCTGCACCACTAAAGTAGTGCACTGGATGGGATCATGAGTGCTTTCCATAACACTATTAAAAAAATAACATTTATCATTTCCACAGCTTTCCCCTCAACACAGATATATGAAAGGATGCACTAGAATAATTGAGTGCCATTTTATTATTAACTTAATAGCTAGGTATCCATTTACTTTATGTTTTGAAAAATGAAAACCATAATGATTCTAAGTGAAATATTTTTTCCCTCAGATCCACACTACCACTCTGTCATTTCATAAGGCTGGCTGGCAGCTGCAGCATATCTCCAGATATTTTCATGCACCTGTGCTGTGTCTCAATAACCTGTTGGTAACTGCTTATGTCAGACTGTTCCTTGTACTTTAAAAAAACCCCACACACATCTGATCTATTTAACTAAAACATGTTCACACTAAATAATAGGAATAAACTGTATTAGCTATGCAGGTCTCCTTGTATCGTCAGACAGCTCTGAAAATAAATTGAAGGCAGACTATCTGTTCCCAGGAGCATCATTATGATCTTTTGTTCCTGTACTTAGAAGTAGGTTAAGCTACTTTCAGGTAAACAGTTGACCTTGAAGGATCTGAATCAGGGAAGTCTATGCCATGTACCTAACAGTTAATACAGATATTTTAGATGGAGCATACACAATTGCTGTTCTATGAATACTTCACATCTCCAAAGGATTAGGGGTAATCCCTGTACTGACAACTCCCTGCCAACTGACCGCCACCTTTCCAAGGTTAAGAACATGCTTTACTGCTGGTGTCTGTCACCTTCGAAAGACACAATCTGACAAGGAAGATCAGGTATGAATCACGTTACAATGCTGCCACTGTGTGGGCAAAAGAGGTCATGGGCTGCTCCGACTCTCCCGGCAGGGACAAGCGAAGCAAAAGACCGACCATGCTTACTCATTTATCAGCAATAACTCTGCTCTGCTATGCAAAAGGAAATGAACAGATCCCAAAGTAACAGCACTTAACGTGCAATAAAAATACAGGCTTGCCAAGGTGGTAAGTTCACTTAATTCTATCCCTTAAGATCTGCTCAAAGCACCTGTTCACTCCAAAAAACATTGGTAGGAAAAACCCCTGGGGCACTGGATACTCAAGCCATCCAGTTTTAGAGCAATTCATAGACAAAATAACAATCTCAAAATGAAGACACCAGTGCCATAACTTACAAACATCATGAGACAAATTTTTATGTAATGATGTGCTTCTCTCCTTTCACAGGACAACTGTTTATTCCACACACAATTCTAGCTTCAGCTTGCTGCCTAGATTAGCTCTATTCAGAATGCTTGTCTCTGAGATGGCAAGCCCAACACAACAAATTTTGCAACTTAAACACCCTAACCATTTCTAGGGGAGTAGCAATAAAGAGAGGAAAAAAACCCACAGATGAGTTTACAATGAAGCACTTAAAAACTGGTCTTGAAGAGGAGAAAAATCTGCACTTCATAACTTTTGTTCCTATTCATGTTTTTCTGCCAAGCATTATCTTTCACATATTTAGTTAGGATAATCCCAAAGTCTTGTTCACTGGTGGCCACATATGATCAAACATTACCGACTTGGAGCAAAGGAGGCAGTTATCATGCTACCCTATAAGAAAAACCCTTTCCTTCTCTGAAATTATGGAAAATACTTCCCACTTCTGTCTATCAGTAAGAGACAGTGAATATAGAAGTCGTTCTTCTATACTTCACCGAAATATCACTCAAGTACTGAAAGCTAGAGCAGCTATGCAACAGCACCTTCTCTAGTACAGACAGTTCTTATCCCACCTTGTGCGATGAGCAATCCTGGTTTGAACCAGCATTACTCCTGGCAAAGCATAACATTTTTACCATGCCACAAGTGAAGTCACCCTGGAGCTAATAAAGAAGTATGCTTTGTTCATGTGTGTCATTTGCGATGCAGCACTTTGATGCTAGTGTGCTTAAATTGGTCTTCAGTGAGTCTTAAAATTACAGTAATACATTGTAATGTCTTACATTCACATAAGTTAACTAATAGGAAAAGCATCAATTTTACTGAAATACAGTAAGCACAGTAAATAAATTGACCACACCTGACTTCTGGCTGGCAATTACTAATTGCTTAAATTACCTTGTTGGCTGTCTTACTAAGACATTGTAATGGGTTCAGAGCTCAGTATAGATATCAACTCTTAGGAACAACCCAATGAATTACCTAATTATGAGCAACAGCATCTAGGTTAAGGATTATTCATTTCAGTGCAAATGGTGGAGCCCCTGACAAGGCTACAAGGATTCTGCAGTTTCAATTCTTTGTTCCCAAATGTTGATTTAATAGGGAAGAGGTAGGACTCTGTTAATACCTCACTCAGTTCCAGAAATAACTATTGTATACCATTTTTGAAAGGTGAAAGTCTTCCATAATGAAGTCTGCATTCTGTGGAGCTTTCTTTTAAGCTGTTTTCCCCCAGACATTTTAGGCAATAGAGAGCTGGCAGGAATATTGTGCTTTAGGGAATGGATGCCTTAATTTCCTGAGAGGACTAACACAAAATCTTCAGATTACTGCACTGAATCATTCATTTCACCACACATTCTGCCTTTTCCTCCTGAAGCAGTAGTTTGGAGCTTGCATTACCTTGACTCTGTCCAAGATGTTGAGAACCAAGGGGGTTTTGCTCAAGGAAAATGGATTAGAACATGTCAGGAAACAGCTCAATGTGGATAAGCTGTTTAGTTTTAGCAGCTACAGTAAATTCCAACTCACTGAAACTTCATAGCAGAGCTACTACTCCAAAGTTTAAAATATACTGTACTTGCAAGAACTGGAAGACGGTTTCTCCCCAGATTCACTTCAGGTTGGGGATTTTGGTTTTAATTTCAGTATGTCTAAAATATATCTACATAAAGGTTTAGAAGGTTTCTTAATCAACTCAAATTTGGTGGCCCTGAAAGCATCCCACGAATACAAGGTTTACCCAGTAACCCAAACCAATCATATTATAATAAAGGCCAGAGCCAACATCTGAGTAAGCAACTGAGGTACCCTCTTCACCCCTGCACAATGGTAACATCTTGCACAACTCAAGCATGAAAGGCTAATATGGTCCACTAGATCCTCTACGAAGATTACTATGTAATCTTCGAGCTCATGTAGACTAGACTCTTCTACTTGATTCCAAGGTAAGTGGAACAATCTTCACTTGTCCTAGAATGAAGTGCATTTATTTATAATGACAAATTCAAATCAACACAGACAAATTAAAAAGATGCTTTAAAATAGCCGATTTTTAAGAATTGCATCCTAGAGACTTATACTCACGTTCGCTTTTGATTTCCCAGCTGACTCCAAACTTCAATTACAAAACCATCAAAATTTTCATTCTAAATAAAAAGGGAATCATCAACAATATGCAGTTAATCACCATGCTTATTTATTAGGCTTATATCAGAGATGATAGTACAGTATCAAAGCACACAATTACTGTAGTTTTTCTTGTACTACTACAGATTGAACATGCTTTATATTCTTTTACCAGCTTCACCTTTAATGCAGCATTTAATGACAAAGTCAAAGATAAGCACAAATTATTTAACAAACATGCAAAAGTTGAAAACTTCTATTAGTTATCCATGACTTCTACTCTTACAGGATAAACCAGTATCAGATTAGGAAAATTCAACCATTAATGAAAGATGGTTGTTAAGCAAATCATTTGACAAACATTTACATGTATAATGGGGAAAAACTCATGAGCTCTTGAGTCTAAAGATGTAAATGCTACTTTGGCATAGACATCATTCCAAATATCTCCCACAATTAATCTCACTTGTGACAATTTATGTTTAGCATGATCAAGGATACTGTTGTACTTGAGTACCCTTTCCTTAATCGGACAACTGTTACTGAGGACCTAGAATTGAAGTATCAGTTACAAATTTTAAGAAACTATTCTGTTCACCTCTACATCCATCTTCCTCTAGAGCACATTTAGATTTCTCTACATCATGTAGCAAGTGAGAAAACTTATTCTGACAGTAATTAAGCAGGCTGTCATGAATCAACCACTAAAGTTGAATGTCTTTCGGGTGCAACTTGTCTAGTCCTACATATGCATAGCTATAAAGCCATTAGCTAAGGGGCTGCCCAGAAAACGTTAGCAAACAGCCATTCCTTAAAGGAAATCCTCTTCTCTCCCCAGCTTCTTAACATTTTAAGGAAACTGGTTTACCAAACCTCAGCAAAATTGTACAGTAACAGATATCCAATGAGTTATTCTTGGTATTAGAAGTGGCTCATTAGCTCTAGCACACTGAGTCTGAATGTAACACAGAGAACAGCACTCATCACACTTGTGACCCTTGTTCTGCCTATCAAAAAAGTCACTAACGAGTTTAGCCCATGCTTAATAGATTATTTTTTTTAATAGAAATTAGAAAGCAGTTTGCTCACTAGGCAACCTCATGAAAAGTTTATCAGGCATCCACTACTGCCTCAGTAACACTCACTCTGTCAGCTGTTTGGAATAGGTTTTATCAATCACAATTTATAGCATGCCAAAGTCATCAGTGCAGTTGCCGATGATAACAAGCTTATGTTGATTCGACTTAATCTCACTTTCAACTTGTAGTTAACTGCACTTAAGTGTTGCTATACTTTGTATTTACAGGAATTGGACACATAGTAGGACACACTCTTAAGAATCCCACAGCATGATTGTTTTGAGTAGAATTTTATTCGGTACAATATAAAACTACTGGAAATGAGAAAAGACCCATTACAGAAGGAATCAAATATCATCTCACACTATTTCATAAGCATTAGTAAAAACTTTTTACCTTGGCTAGCAGAACCATGTTCTTGGAAAGCTCCTCTATCTCATCCTCACTGCCAAAAACACTCCCGAAGTCCTGATAAGTCCAGCCATCAAACAAAAGTCGAGGCACTATCAAGCAAAGTCATCAATCAGTAGTGGAAATTAAGAATTTATTATCTACACTGGAATATTTCTGCAGAAATAGAATACAGCGGATGTAAGCAGAGGTGCCACTAAACAACATATCCCATGACTGAGATCATTGCTTTTTTACTCTAACTTGAGCAGCACAGATACATTGACACTGTAGAAGATTCTTCTTCATTTTACATTTAGTTAAAGGTCAGCTCTGATGCAAGTTTTCAGAAAAGGTACCTTCACTTGATGGAACTATCTTAATTGAACTATTACTTGGGGCCCCAAGTAGAGTCTTAAAAGAACACCAACAAGAAACAGCAATCTTTCTGTAAGTTGTACATTTCTTCTACCACAAGAACAAGATAGAAAAGTTCCCCTCAAACTCTAATTTACTCTTTTGTACACAGCCCTATATTACTTCACTCTTCTACTCATCTCAAGACCCTGGGACAAATTTTTATTTTGGAAAACATGGTCACTTGAGGCAATGTAACTTCTTTTTCTAACAACACATTTAAAACATTAAAAACATAGTCAGACAAGAGTTAGGAAAACTGCTGTTGGAACAACCAACAATCACACACACTGGAAAAGCCAACAACTCATACAGAGCTGTGTCTAAGCCCTTTCTAACTACTAAGGATGTAAAAGAGCATTTTAGAAGAGCCTAGAGAGATTTCAACAGCTTTATCATCTGGCAGCTGAAGTAATTTAAAATATCTGAGTACTCAATTTTTCTAATGCATTTCAAGTTTCATACTCCCTTCTGAATCAAGAAGGGTTTCACAGTTCCACAGAATTCTTACCTCTATAGCAATGTTTGCCATTTTCCATAAAGACGCACACTGTGGCACATCCCACAGTTCCAAGCTTCAAGGGGAGAATAGCCAAAGGAGGATTTTTCTACTATCACACAGGAAAGTGTGACTGACTCAGATTTGGATTTTTTTCTTTTTAACTAAGCAGAACCCCTGAACAACAAGTTTGAAGACTGCTCCCCCAGGTAAGCACGTACTGCTATATACAAAGTACCCCTCCAGAGATGGTCCTGTGACCCAGGGTTTATCCAGAAACAAGAAGTTAGGGCAAAATATTAGGGCACCAACAGGATCAACATTTCAGTTACTTAACTATCTATAGTTAACTGCTTTTAGTTTTCTTCTCGGATTTCTTCCCTCATACAACTACACTAAGGTAACCTCCCTTTCTCCCATATACACCAGGAACAAAGCTGCCTTTTTCTCTGCTACAAGTTAAAGATGATAAACAAACAAACATAAATCAGAGGCTCACCTATTTTGATGTTTTTGGAGGTTTTTCTGACATCCTTCATCCAGCCTGTCAAAGAGTATCAAGTAAGAGAAGAACTGTTAAAATATAAATGATGTTGACAACATATTTTCAAGCATTCTTCAAATAATGTAGCACAGTTTCATTAAATTGGTCTTCCTGCCACAGACTACTAGTTCATAACCAACACAGACAAAACATTCTCTGATGCACAAACTTGCAGCTAATCACCTCCACCACAGCATTAACTACAATCTTAAAACAGTCTCTACCCAACCCCACCCTGCTCACGGTTCTGCCTCATCATGGAAACTATCTTACTGCCTACTCAGAACAACACTTCTGCAGTCACCAAGCATCACCTAGGAGGAATTTTTTTTTCTTTTTTTTAAGATAGTACTTTCAAGTGTCCCATCCACTCCTCTTGGCAGTCGCTGCACTAGAACAAATTTGTTAGTGGGCACCAACATGGTAAGAATTATAGTTGCTTCAAATGAGATTCCACAGACAAATGTTTCAATCAAGTTCAAACCCATAAACTACTTAGTTATTATTTAAGAACATACGAGCTGCAATCTGAACTTGCTGCCAGTTTCTTGACAGTGAAAGAAAAAATTCTCTTCAGATTAAATTTATCTTCCATTCCCAAAACAACTTCACCCAAAAGTTTTTGCAGAGGGGAAAAAAAACACAACAGGTAAACAACTGCACAGTGCAAACACCAAACATTATTTCTGCCTGTACAGATTCTTTGTCCCTTCTTTTTGAGAGGCCTTGTAGACAGCCTGGTGGAAAAGCCAGTCTTTCTACTTATTCTTTGGACAGATAACTATGTACACATGTGGAACCAGGTGGGGACAGAAAGAAGTTCACTCTGAAGAAAACTCCCCCCAAAATGTAATGGATGAAAGTACTTCATCATAAGGTAGAGCCAGAAAAACCCACATACATGTATTGCCAAAGCTACCCAGTCTACAACACCACCAGCAATCTTCTTTGCAATGTGTATTCAAAGAAAAAGAAAATAACACCTTTATCAGCATCATGGAGCCCAGTGAATTGGAACCTTTCCTTCCCTCTCCTTTTCACTTGTAACCAGACTGGTGAGATTAGTGTAAATTTGTTTCCAAATATTTTAGCAATGTCATAGCCATGGCTGTTCCACTTGCAAAAGAAAGGAGAAAAAAAGAAAAGCAATAGGCTTAAAAGCAAAATATACAGTTCACCTTACTTTTGACCAATATAAATTCTTTAACAGAACTTTAATCATTTGTAAGATCCCCCCCATTTGTTAGTTTGAGAAAACATTCCAGGACATTATTATTATTTAAATAAGAAAGTACTCTGGATACTCTGATAGCAACATGAAAAGCAATCTTCAAATTGTGCCATTTCACCTGAACTACAGGAATTTGAATGCAGAGTCCAACATAGTTTGGAATTTACAGTCTGACATGGTTTAGCCCCAGCCGGCAGCTGAGTGCCACTCACCCCTCCCCCGGCGGGATGGGGAGGAGAACAGAAAAGCAACGGCAAAACCTGGAGGGTTGGGATAAGGGCAGTTTACTGGGACAGCAAGGGAGAGGGAAACAATCAACAACAGTACTGATAACAGATATTCACAATGGGTGATAACAGAGAACAATTTACCGACCAACCCACCTGATGCTCAACCCATCCAGGAGCCACGCCCAGCCTGCCCCTGCCCGACTAGGCCCCTTTTATG